GATTCACTTTGAGTTTACATATACAAGTTAAATGGTTTTTGACAATATAACTCTTAAAACAGGTAATTTGAGCTCTATGAAACCCTGAAACTTTTATAATGAATTCGTGTGTAGATGTCTTCATCCGTGAGCTCGGACATATTATGTCCTAATAATGGGGACGTGATATGGACTTCAATTAAGCTACCTAATGGAGAAGAGTCAAGATATCGGACAAACTTTACTGAGCTTCGTCCTATAGGTAATAATTTACATTTCGCTTTCCCCTTAATTTTTTATTTTTTATTTTATTTTTTTGTTGCAACAATCTTTTTTCTTCACAGTCCTAAATTAGTTTTGTGATTCTTGAGTATATTTTTTGCAGGGTCCGGTGGCTTTGGGGTTGTGGCAGAATGCGAAAATAAGTTGGACCAAAAGGTTTATGCTGTAAAAAAAATATCTTTGAAGGCTGCCAATATGTCTTTTCAGAAAATCTCGAGGTACAATATACAATTTTCAATTACATTTTTTTACTTGTTATGTAATCGCATGTATAAACTATTATATGTTGAGAGAGAGTGTGAGCATTTTTATACTGGAATCATGACATAAATGCTAGAATAAGTATGTGTACAATTGCATGCTTAGGAACTCAATAGAAAAAGACTGGCTCGTAATTCGATAATTTAATACTGAAAATATCATTAGCAAATAAAATTAACATCTTGTTGTAAATAAGCATAACTTTTTTTTTTAATTAGATGAAATAAGCATAACCTTTTTAAAAGAATATTGAATTCCATGAACGTCAAAAAACTTTAGTAGAATGTGATACTCTATTCCATGCTACCAAATAGAGTGCAAGTTTGCCAAAATGGCAGGGCGCACACACTTGTAAACAATTGAGAAAGACACTACCCCAATATCACTTTAAAACTGATTTGGACCATGAACAGCCTCACAAACAGTTTCCAGATCAAATTCAGCCTTTTTCCTCCCAGCCACTTTTTTGTTTTCTTAGAATTTAGAACAGAGGTTCAATGCCCTTCTTATGTAGCTAAAAAACATAGCGAACTGAGTGCAATCAAGGAGCATGAATTCTTGGTGTTAACAGCTATTGATCCTTGTTCATCTAATAACATATAGACAGGAAAATGGTGTGCGATCAACAAGGAAAAGAAAAGTTTAATCATTGTTTACTATTTACTTGGAATAAAATATCCACTTTATATGGCAATATTTGATTCTATGTTAACTGGACCTAGAAGTTTACATTTTGGAACAAAATCTATAGCTCTAATTTGTGAGAGTCCTGCACAAACTGTAGGACCTCACTGTAGACCTTTGCCACTGTTCGTCCTATTCTAATAAATGCATTGAGCACCATCACCATGCCAATTAATATAGGGAATGGGAGTTCAATGCATTTGTATCAGATGGAAATTCAATAAGCTGTATAGGAAGAAACTTAATATTGGACACCATTTTCCTGCGGAGTAGCCAAACTAAGGAAACCTCAGGATCAATATTTCGGAGACTGCCATCCACAACAATAACCAAGTAGCTTGTCCACCATGCACGCATTTTTCCTGAGAGTGCATTTCCTTAAACCCCCTAAAATACCTCACATTCTGTTCACTTCACATGCTAACTGCCCTACACATCAAGTTATGTTACAGCAATTTATCTGTATAATTAAATTTATTTTTGAGCATGTGGACTTATGCCATTGTCTGCAAGTTGTCAATGCCATGGATGTTTGTTACTGCTTGGTGAATCTGATTGTCACTTCATTTGAGATCTTATTTAATTTAACTGGGGTTTTTATTTTTAACCTTGCCCTG